CCCTATATCATATACCAAAATCGCAATCAAAAAACCAAAGAAAAACATTACCACAAAAAAAAAAAATAATAATAATAATAAAAAAAAAAAAATCAAGTTGAGGCAAATAATTATGAAAATAAAAACAATATGGCTTTACGATATAGAATTGTATCCTGTAACTGTATTTAAAACTGAAAAATCATATAAACTGCATATAATATAAATACACAAACACACAGACTCACACTCACACACATACACGTATATGTACTATGTGTGTACTTAGTGGAAAATAAACGAATCATTTTGGCAATAATAAAGCATAGAATGAACTATATATAAAAAAAAAAAAAAAAAAACAAACACAAAAAATTGTTTTCATTAACGATATAAAGTGACAAGGAGTCGACAAAGAGATACCCTTGAAACCTCGCAGACTGAAAGTGAAATGAACATAGTGAAAGATAAGATTGAAAAGAAAGCACTAAAGAAACTTCTTTATCATGTTAGTTCTAAATGTATATAGAAGTAATAAATCCGTTATATTTAGAATTATCTACTTAAAGAACTATGCAGCGATACTTATCAAATATATAACAACTCAGTCTAGCCAGGTAATATAACCCGCCTAAGCACCCCTTACAGAGTATGGACAGTCGAAGAATTTCTGTCCTGCTTTAATGAGAATTTAATTAGCTTTACAGCTCACATAAAGCCCATTGTTCTATATTAATTAGTGGAACAGCTCCTCGAGTTCTTATCAGCGAAACTTCACTTTTACACAATTTAATTACACGCAGGCTCGGAGCCGAGAAGTGTTTTCTTTTATTAGCCCTTTTTTAATGGGGCTTAACTCACCGAACTCGCGATCACAATCTATCACATAGCCCGGATTATCCATGGCACCAGATTACTTATGTCTATATATATAAATATATTCGAAGCACTTAAAAAAAAGGGTTCAGAGACTCGAATAATCGCAAAATCACTTGTGTATACTAGTCTAGTCTAGTCTAGTCATATGCCCAAGTATATCTCAATTTTAGATAAGTTGATTTTTCACTGTTGCGACCACTGTCGTTGCCAAAATTCGACTGATACAGCCCGAGAGCAGTCAATGCCACTTTAAGCATAAGCATATACCATCTGGTAACACGCTCTGCGTTCTATCTGCTATTATTATATGAGTCAATTACAACGGTGTTCTGTAAAGCGATGGATGAAGAGCGATGAAGAGCAATCAAACACATAAGATAAACAGACGTTCAAAAGTAAAAGTTGGGTATGTCAGACGGGTTAGGTAACTCGCTTGCGACATGGGACTAAATGGATGATTGAACTGATTAACTGAGTGATTGATGACCCAGCATCCAATCTGGATTGCATCTATTGACTGACTACTAACTGCTTAACGGATTGATCGATTTATAACTAACTGATTGGTGTATGATTGATGAAGTATTAGTGATTGATTCACGATTGATTGACAATTAATTGACAATTGATTGATGATTTATTGGTCATTAATAGGTGATTGATCGATGCTTGATTGGGGATTAATTGGTTATTGATTGATGATTGATTAGAAATTGATTGATGATTGATGGGTGATATATTAATGATTGATTTCTGAATATTTTCTGATATATTATATAAGTTCTCTGATTGACTGACTGACTGACTGATTGATTGTTATATATTCTGATTGACTAATAATAATAATAATAATTGATTGACTGACTAAATAACCAACATTAGCCCTAGGAATATGAATCAGTTGAATGACTAACCGAGACACACAAGTATGTATAGGAAACTACCAGAATGATTAAATCGGATTTTATTTTAGAAATGTGGGCTATAATTTTTCTGTCAAATCAATATTGGATATCATATAGCAATAAAAATAACTCATTGAAGGTCTTACCTGTTAACCACTCTCCCCCAATGCAGCTAGGGTATTTGAAGATTGGAAAGAACTCTTGGCCAAAATGTCGTAATAATGGTTTAACATGGCGCTATAAAATGACTTAAACAACCCACTCAGATATCGCTAAGAATATCTGCAAGTCAGCGCACGAGTGGGCGTGGCCAGCACCCGCAGTCTCTTGGCAGACGGCGCACGAGGTGCTTGATTAGGCCCCTCCACACGTCTTACTAAATATGTATTAGTGCTCAAATAAAAGACGTCAGAACAAATAGGAAACTCCGAATAGTGCAAAGCCTTATCGCAAAGGAAATTCTTCTCAAGAGTCGTAAGTACAAGTAAAGGATATCCTAGAAATGGATCCTTATTATATATTCAATATATATACTGTAGTTTGTGTTTCACATATGCTACAATATATTATTTGATTTAAAATTAAAACTAAGCTTGATTTTATTCTAGATTTTGAGTTCTTTATTTACACACTAAAAATTGAGTGATTGTAATTTAAGTGAATAAATTAAGAATATAAACATAATTTATGAGCCGAACATGGAAAGTGCTTAAATAGACATCAAACAAGCAAAGATCGTTACAGAATTAGCCTAGGGTAGATACATATGAACATATGTACATATATATGTATGTATATCTCTGACCTTTTGATATTTGCACTTTAGAAAATGTTTCAAATTGACATATAAAATATGTTTAACATCTGGTTTATTATATATGCATGTATATACGTATATATGTATATACCCCCTGATTGCTTTAATATACAATGAGTGCATCTATTACACAATTAATTAAAGAAACCAAATCAAAGCAAGCAACAAAAGTGTTGGCAATGCCTTACAATTATATCGTTATATATCGTTGATATACAGCTCTATATATACATATGTATGCTATAGGATATACAGACTTTGATTTAGATAAACAATAGTTTTTTTGTCTATTGATAAACATATCGCTCATCCTCTATCTCGCTTACACACGCTCTCTCCCTCCCTGTTGCGCTACCTGAAACTCTTTGTACCTTACTCTTCTTATCTATGGGCACTTTTCGACACATGGATATAATATATGCCTGGATTTATATATATGTATATATGTCTAGATTATTATAGCGGTCGGCTTAAGCTGGTTTCGTTAATGCTACAATAGAACAAAAGCCAAGTCGTCTGTATAAGTTTGGCTAAATATTATTTACAGCGAGAGCTAAACGAAATATATGTATCCTATGCTTTACAAATACACAGTTATCTCTCTAATGCAGCAACATAACTTGGTAACAGCCTTACATAGATCGGCATTATCTTGCTGTATACCAAGCGGTAAAAATTTATGACTCTTTCCTTAGGTTGTCAGCTGAAAAGGCAGATGTTAAAGCACTTGAAGAAGTAGATGAAGCTGGTAAGAGAGACGAACTGCTATCTCATTCAACGATCAAAGTTCACGTTAAGCAAATGACAAGGAAATCATGCTATTGTCAAGCAATCTGGCAACGCCAGCGCAATGAGGATAAAGTGCCTGGTAAAGTTAATGGCAATTGTTGACAACTGTGTGGCAAATACATTGTGGCTTATAAAATAGTTAAACACTCACATTCGTTTCTATACAAATCAACGTTTATTAGAAATTTATCCTTTCCATAGTCTAGTTGCAATGTTTCTTGGCATTGCGATCAGTAAATATATTTGTATTTTGGTCTAAAACAGAAAAATAAGTTGAAGAAGGTAAAAAGCCAACTACAAAAACATTAAATAAATGGCCCTTTTAGCTAAACGCTTAAGTTTAAATTGAATTCAAATTAATTTATATAATTAAAATAACATAAAAACTATGATACAAATTAGGGAATTTATAAAAAACGAAAACAGAAAATATTGCAGAAGAGACACGCCCATAGACCGTTACTTGAAAGTTAAATATACAAATATATGCATATACATATATATACCATGTTTAAGCTGGAATTTTTACAGCAGAAAAAGTAGATATATGACGCATCGATGTGCTACGAAAAGCTGCGCTTCAAATGGTTTTCATTTATACAATGGATTTAAAACT